GGTTTCCACAAAGCAGGACAACTGTTTTTAAAATTGATAATTATAATACATGTTTTTTAAAGCAGCAAATCAGATGCAGTTATTTTAAAACAACAATATGTAAGTTATTTTAAATTGTAGTATTTCACTATTACTGTATTAATGTAATGATCAAATAAACGCAGCCTTGGTGAGAATAAGATACTTTTTTTCTTTCAAAAGCATACAAAAATCTTACCGATCCCAAACTTTTGAACAGTAGAATATGATTGCTTTGTTGCTGTAAATCACTTTCATTAGTTATTTATCCATCCAAGTTTGATTCTGAATTTATTTTTATTTAAAACATTGCAAAAACAATTAAGCAGCCATTCCGCTTCACAAAATCTCATGTCTTTATACTGAATAAAACATTCATCCATATCAAATAAAGTGTTTGTTTTTTTATTTTAGTGTTCCCATCTAGCATTTTGAATGCAGTATCCCAAAAATACTTGAATGAAAAGCTAGTGTGACTAAGTGATTTTATTCAGGCAGGTAATTTTCAAAAGTCTTTCAGAGAGTGGGAGCCACAACTGCATTGGCTCTTTTGATCACACACAGTATCATCCATTTTTCTGGTTGAAAATTTCATCTGGCTTTTGTTAAAACCTTTAAAACAGCTCTTTTATTCATTTCCAAAGCAAGGTGTCAAAATGTGTGTTGGATTTCTGATTTGCTTCTTGGCCTACTGTACTGTAGCTGTGGAAACCCAGAGGTAACAGAGAGGCCTTCAATATCAATATCATCAAACACCTTGTAAGAGGAACACTTTGTCATTATTTACTTAAAATCTGATTTGAGCTCCAAACTCATTGGCTGCCGTCTCCGTTTTCCCTTTGTGTTTGTGAAATGCTGGAATGGTACAGCATGGTGTCGGGAAGTTCAACATATTATCACCCTTCCTCCGACCAGAGCGTAATCAATGCAGACAGGCATCGGTTATCCTCAAGCGATAGTCTCTGCTTCTCATTAGGATGTCGTGAGTGTATATATGCTGTTTTTACAAACAGGGATCGGTGTGTGTTGCATAAATAAGTGGGAGCATTTGAAATATGAGCGCATTGAGAGAACCTCTGCGCTCTCTGCTGAGTTTTTTCAGGGCTCGCATGTGGTGTGTGTTGGGGTTGTTTGTAGAAGTGTTGTGACGTTTCAAACATACTATTATTAAGAAATGTATCATTGGCCCACTGTCCAGAACCTTTTGTTCTAGTATTCCTCCTCCTCTTGATCCCTATTTCTGGCTTTATTACTGGTTCTCTTTCTGTTTCACTGTACTGTGTGTTCTGTTTATTTTGACAGCCAATTGCTGTTGAGTAGTTTTTAATGAGGGCTTTGATGAGCCTTTGTTCAATTAAGGGGCTGGAGAGGAGGAGGGCAAGCGGCCTCTAACTGTTCACTCATTTCACCCTTTTCTACTTTCTTCCTTTTTTTGAATTTCGCTCCCTCTTTTGAGCCCCTGAGCTAATTGTTAACATCCCCCTGCCCTGAACTGTAAAACAAATGTGCTACTGTGAGAGGGGTGTGCCATACGAAGCAGAACTGTTTAAATCAGACCCTAAACACACATACTGTATGTTTGAACGAAGGCTCCTGTGTTTAAGTGTTGACAGTAGCTAATCTGTTCAGATTTAAACATGGCTGGTTGAAGCCGGTAAATGGATGCATCTGAGATTAATCACTAGTTGATTCGCCTGTGATGTCCGAAATGCTATCTAGGTTCTTTACCAAGTTTTCAGTTCATTTCAAACTTCTTCACATTCTGATACAGTGTGATACATGCACTGCTCTTCAAGAGTTTAGACACATCTAGTTTTCCACATTTTGAAATACTGTAGTCATTACAACTAATTTATTTTAGACTCTTTAAAGGCAGCCAACTTATTGTGGAACATAACTTGTGTTTTTTGTATAGTAGTTTTTCCTTCAATATATAGTTCAGTTTATCTATAAAAAAGCAGAAATAATGAACAAAAACAAATTTATTCAAAAACAGATAAATTAATTGATTTGAAATAAATAATTAACTTACATTTTATATTGTAATATTTTTAAACTGGATAGTGAAGAGAAAATGACTAAGTGGTCATGGACACACTTGGTCTCTCCTGCATTTTTGGTCACAATCCATATGGATTGTCGTTGTTTTTCCACCCTTCTGAATTTACATTTCTGTTTTAGCGTTGTGCTGTGGCATACTCCGTTTCTCACTTCCTCCCTTTTACTCATTCTTGTATTATTTTTGAATGATATTATGTTATGACTTGCTTCGGATATAAAATTAATTAGAAATGTAAATGAATCAATCTCAGTTACTCTCATGTCATTTTCTTTGCTTCTGTCCAGTAAGAATTGAGGGCTTGAAACTTTTTAGTTTCTTCATTAATTGAACAGCAGAAAATATGAATGCACATATAAATTACAGATCAATGCAAGGAAATAGAATATCTATTCACCCCCTCCAAGATGTGCAATCATCAGTTATGACTCTATTTGTTGCAAAAAATCAAAGCTTACCACACTGAGTTTACAAACGCCTCCAATCAGACCAAATGACTCATGAGTGATTAGAATGTCACCAGCAGGAGACAGGTATCCGTGTGTCTTCATTCCACCATGAGGACCAGAAACAACAAACCCCGTACTACTTTTTGCCTCTGTGATTTATTACGGCTATTACACATACACAGACGGTAGGCCGGAAAACAAGTGTGTTTATTTTTTAATCACTGCAGTGCATAGCATGCACTCTAATCATCTATAATCGCCTAGTTAGTTAGTGCTTCAGCCTGATTAGTGGCTGGCTGAATACTACTGCAATGTGTGTACATATGTGTAGCTGTGCTGACCATTCTGTGGTATTTGTTAAGCCATGTTATGCACCGGTCATGTTGAACACACTAAACAGTTTTCTACTCATTATATCTGTGTCATCTGTAGATTAACACAGGCTGTAGGTTTATCAGAAGCTGCTGGAGATGGATTAGAGCAATTACACATGGGACCTGACCCCACACAGGACACAATCACACTCCTCCATCCTCTTTTTGGAGTGAGAGAGGAAGGGAGAGCTTTTCCTTTCGACCCCATCTGACCTCCATTCAGGTCTTTGTCGGTCAGGTGTGTGTGTGTACTGTATACTTTATACGACTGTGTACAAAGAAGCTTTTGGCTAAGTGAAGTCGTGGCTTAATGGTTAGAGAGTCGGATTCGTAACCCAAAGGTTGCGGGTTCGAGTCTCGTACCGGCAGGGATTGTAGGTGGGGGAAGTGAATATACAGCGCTCTCTCCCACCTTCAGTACCACGACTGAGGTGCCCTTGAGCAAGGCACCGACCCACTGCTCCCCGGGCGCCGCAGCAAAAATGGCTGCCCACTGCTCCGGGTGTGTGTTCACGGTGTGTGTGTGCACTTTGGATGGGATAAATGCAGAGCACTAATTCCGAGTATGAGTCACCATTCTTGGCCACATGTCACATGTCACGTCACTTTAAAAAAACAGCCATATGGCCAACTGATGCGGAAATGCCGATCCTCCCCAGTTCTCACCCTCTGATTCTGTAAGGACAACCTTATGTCGTGGCTGTGCTGCACATGTGCTCGCAATGTGAAGTGACCCTGAAAAGTATTTGTAAACATTTTTAAAACTGTATGAGGTTCATTGCATTAGATATCTTTATATATAGCCAAGTGGAATTAATTTTAAAGAGGGTGCAAGTGCAAAACATGTCCGTAGTTAATGTGGTGAAAATCTTTGGAGTAGTTGGATAGATTTGGCTCAGAAAAGTAAAGTTAGTTGAGAATTGGTCTCACACATCATTTGTGTTTCTGATGCCAACTGGTTTGATATTTTGTTTTCAAATGCAGTGACATATATTTAGTGTGACTAGAAAACTAGTTTTTAAGCTTTTATTTGTACTTCATTTTAGTTTATTTTATGACTTTATTTGAATTTTTATTATCTTATATTAAAATATATATTTATTATATTATGCTTTAATTTTAATTTTTTTATTTTATTACCTTATTTGTGTTTATTTTATTTAATTTTTTTTAACCTGAGCATTGGTTAGTTAGTTAATGCTAGTGGCTTCCATTTAAGAAATGATTACAGTGGAATTTCCAAGGCAGATGGAGAGAGACAAAGGAAGAGGAGGAAAGGATGAGATAACTTCAGAGCAAAGAGGGCATTGTCTTGATTTCTGTTTTTCCTTCCATTCTCTACCCATCTCACATGGATAAAAAAAGACCTGCCCCTCTCTCTCTTACGGATTTGCTGTGCATTCATCACTCCTTTCACTAGATTTATTGCCCAAGTGTTTCCAGTGTGCAGGAAGTCCTCTTGTATAATGGTGTTTTGTTTTTATTTTTTGACCCCATCAGATAAAAATCCCACATAGACTCTTGGCCCACCAGTCTGCTATTTTCTTTCAGGTTTAGTGTCATATTAATAGCTTTGGATCTCCCCTGAAGTATTAGCCTGATTGTCAGGAAGGTGCTGGACGGCAGACAAGGGCATATTTGAGGTTTTCGGCTTGGAGCTTAAATTTGTATGTGTATCTGCATGTGTGGTGGTGAATGTGTGTTGATGTTTAAACAGCACTGCGGTTCTCCTGGCTTAAATGTCCACCAGAGTGCTGCTAAGCTCCACTTTTTATGTTTGTGTTATTGCATGTATTCATGGTCTTGTTTGGTTGTAAATACAATATGAATAGTGTCTCGTGTGTGTGTGTGTGTGTGTTCATGGAGACTATATAAGAGACCAGAATGCAGCAGATTCTGCCAATCGATTGAAAGAAAGGTATCACATGAGTTTCAGTTTGACAGGGATAAAAATGAGGGGAAAACATGCAAACTTAATTCAAATGAATGTCCATAGTTTTACCACCTGCTGTAAAGGGTTGTGCTGTATGTGAAAGATATCCCATATGTGAACCTCACATATCTTTGTTTTCTCCCTTCCCTTTCCTTCTTTCTCTGTAGGGGAAGGTTGCTCAGACGGCATGTATGTCAGCTTGTAAACACCTTTCAACCTCCCTACTGCAGCTGCTATTGGAGGCTGATGTCAGGCAAGTGTCTATGGGAGCCCTGCAGCAGTTCAACGTGGATGTCAAAGAGTGCGAGAGTAAGTTTGACCTGGAGCAAAAGCTGAATGACCATTCATAAGCCTCCTTAAACCTGATTGCATGATTGTGCTTTATTCTGTTGTGGCCCAATTAAAAAATTCCTAATTTGTACTGGAGACTAATTACGCCACAATGCTGTCTGCTGTAACCAGCTTTTCATTTGACACCACTTTCATAGAGATTGAGGTGAAAGTTAGAGGAAAAAGGTGAGAAGAGTATGCACTTTTGGCTAGTGCTTGAGATTTTTCGCTTGGATCCAGTGTTGCCAGGTCCGTGGTTTTCCTGTGGAATTGGGCTACTTTAACACTGTTGCCGTGGGTTGTTTTTCATGTCCACGGGTTGAAGTGACCCCAATAACGTGATATTTAGCCCCTGGAATGTGAATTTTACCAGGGGAACCCCGGCAAAAAAAACGAGTAATTTAAACCCTCCCCCCGGAACACGATTTGTACCAGTGGAACCCCCCCCCCCCCGAAACACGATTGGGCTATTATTTGGCTAGGTTTGTGTAGCAGTTGTGTGGGTTTTGTTGTGAAAACCTGGCAGTCCTGCTTGGATCATCTCTCCTTACAGTTTTGCATGTGACCACAGCTAAAACTGCCTTTGAGTGCCTAACCCCGGCTGGATAATGGATTTACCATGATCCTCTGCCAGCGCAGAGGTCACTGGCAGAGAGAGAATGACCCCCATCATAAAACGGTCATGTCAGTCACACCGTATGCCACCTTTTTTGGTGTGGTTTCCTTTGGTTTACCAAGCAGCCTGATAAGTACCATGTCAGTGATTGCTTTCATCTTTAGAGACCATGTCCTGTTGATTTGGATGTCCCCCCATGTATTTACATGCCTCAAACCACCAAACTGACCTTTAATCAAAATGGCACTCAAGTAAAAAGAAAGGCCCCTCCCTCCATACTCACATACACAGTCTTGGTGAAACACAGGTCACTGTGTTTATGGTTTCAAGGTTGGGTTTTAGGAAATAATACAGAACTAAAATAGTGTAACCACTTGAATGCATAGACTATATGTCTATGGTTAAATCTATCAACAGTTTGGATGTGTCTTTGCTGTGGGGAGGGAGGGGGATATGAAGACCCAATGAAGTCAAGAAACGATAAGGATCTTTGTATAAAGCTTGATCATAAGCTGGCCCAAAAAATGTGCAATATGCTTGATCATAAGCAGGCCCAAATATTGTTAAATATGGGTAAACCATGAAGTGCAGGTATTCTGATTGCTGCATTTTGAATGTATTGAAGTCTGGAAACTGTTTTAGAAGAAAGAAGGGCATAACAGTCTACATGTGTAGCGTTGGTGTGGACAAGCATCTTGATGGTAGCAATGTCCGGAATTTTTTTTTGCAAAAGTTGTATCTTTAGGGGTGCAACAGTTGGGACAGTACCCTTTAAGGGACAACTTTGTACCCCTAAAAGGTGCACATTAATTATGAACCTTTTGGGGGTGAATAAGTACAAAGATGTCCCTTTGAGGGTACTGCCCAAGTGACAAGCTGTTGTACCCCTAAAGGAGTCTAACAAGAATATATAGAGTGTGTGATTCAACAAGCATTACTTCAGTCTTAGTAGGGTTTAATTGAACTATTGTTAATGATTTTGTTAGTTATACCCAGTGCATCAACTAAGGAAATATTACTTTACTCACTTTATTGTGAAGTGTTACCGCAATTCATAATCTCTTTGTTTAAGATTGGGTACATATAAATGGACTATCAGTGATATACTGGAATGCTTTCTAATCACTTTCTTTTCTTACGTGAACCATGCTGCTTTTGTTGCAGGTCTCTCTCCTGTAAAAAGGCGAGCGGGGTAGTTCGCAAAATCGACACAGTCTCTGACCGAGACGTGGCAACAAAAGCGCAAGGGTAAGCAGTCGCTGGCTCAGCGTTTGCGGGGGTCAGAAATAAAGATGGCAGGCGTGTAATTTGCGTGAGAGGCAAGAAAGGCACGCAGCATCACGAGGTGAAAGGGATTTCTCCTGGCCCCGGCTTGTTTTGTCCCCGCGTGTCAAATGTTCCGTTTTTCAGAATGGCGAAGCCGCTTGTTTACGGGTTCCCGTCCAAAGGCACAGAAAGGTCCAATGGCCCTCAGAAACCTCTACAACTCATGCACTCCCCACACACCCCCAAGCCCATTGGCTTTTCACAAGTTTTGTCGGCCCCTTCGCTCAGTACCATGCCACTGGTCTGGGAGAGCGGCCTCATGGGAAACGGTGTCAGGTTTTGGGTTACGGGTTAAAGGCAGCCCCCTCGTCCCCACACATCCCCTCTCTCTGGCTTGTCAGATCAACGTTGGGGGAGAATTAATGAGAGTTTGATGATGATTTTTTTCGAATGGGCCGCACAAAGCCGGTGGCAGACCAAGAGACATGACTCTGCCCTGAACCACCCAACTAACCCTCCACCCCCTCTGCCAGTACCCTCAAAACCTTCAAAGCCCCCTTCCATTTTACCTCCCCCGCCCCCATTGAACCTCCCCCTGTCCTCCCCTTGTCCCGGCTGTCATCCGTCTGCCAATCTCCCGCTCCATGGCGAATTCCCTGCTCTCTTTATCCCTCTCTCTTTCCCACAGGGTTTGCCAGGGCCGGCCCGGTGCCTGGCTTCCAGGGGGACACTCTGCTGCTCGCCTTCATCGACTTGAGACAAGTAGGTCTTTGTTTTTTTCCACTCCTTTTTCTTTTCTTTCATTCTTCTTTCCCCTTTCTTCTGTTTTCCCCTGTTTACCCCTTAACATCCCCCCCTTCTTTCTCTTATTTTCCCTTCTACCGCCAAACCCAACCCCCTAAACCTTCACGCTAGCCTTAGTTTTGTTTCAAGGTTTCTTTCCTCAATGTGTGAGCCTGTATGTGTGTTTGTATTCATATCTGTGGTCCCAAGGCCTGGCCTGATATTCACCTTGGTGGTTTTGTATTTACCATTGTGGTGCGGAGGTGGCCTCAAGACCTCCTCCTGTTCGGTTTAAGGTATGAATTTTTTTTAGATGGTTCTTCATGGGTCATCTTATCCCATTTGCACCTCTGCACTCTTGAACACTGCAGAGCTGGAGCCTTTATAGGAAACGTTGGCCTGTGCTCTGGCTTGAAAAACACTAACTGAAACACACTGAGAAGACATCAAGGTGATGTTGCAACCAGAAAGGCAACAGCCCAAGTCATTATTCTCTTATCCCATTATTTATGTTTAGAGGACATTTTGATAGCACTTTACTAGCACAGAATAGATTTTGTTGCTGCAGTTCATTTGACCATTTAATCTGTTGTAGCCTAACTCCAGATCATGAATGTTGTGGGCATATGTAAGCGTCTCACAATTCTATTCTGCCTCAGATATCCTTTTCCCAGAAACGATCATTATCTTTGTCCTGAAACGATTATTGATTGGATTTATTGGATTTTAAAGGAAAAATACAGCAACTTGACATTTTGTAAGGAGTTATGACCAGATCTCATAGGTTTGGATCAACCATGCTCTGATTTAGAGACAATTGCAGTAACTACAAAACCCACACTTAAAACCATCTTTTTTTGTTTGTTTGTTTGGATTACTGCTTGTTGCCTTTGTTAGGGCAGTATTGTCATCATAAAATATTAGAAACTTTATCCCATTGATTTTATTTTAATGAACGAGTTTCAAACAAAATCTTAGAATATTCTTTATACTGAACAGTTGTTCTTTTGCAACATTGTGGCTTTCATGTACAGTCCTGCTGCTCACGTCTTGCATACTCCAAAAAACAGCTAAGGGATCGAGTTAGTGTTTGTGCATCTCACTGAATTTATCTAAATCAGTTCTTAAATTTTGTGAATCAATTCAGAATTGTTAAAGAAACTATTGCAATACATTGATATATCAGTTTTGTTCGCCAGTTCTAGAAAAGCAGTGATGCACATGTGGGAGATGCAAGTTCGATTACGATCCCACTTCTCTCACTGTTTGTTTAATATTTTCTACTTTCTCAACTGTCTGCCCAAATAAAATAGGCAACAACCTAAAAAATATAAAATAATTATATCTGGTTGTGAATCAGTTCTATCAAACATAACTACAGTTTTTTTGGGGGGACACGTCAAATGAAAGTTTGAAAAAAGGCTGTTAAGAAGAATGCAGCATGTGTTCGTGAATTCCGAGATCTAGAGAGAATGGTAAACAATAATAGCGGGGTTATAAGGGTCCATATTTGGGACCCCCTCCCTCGTTGCCGAAGTGGCCAACCTGGGCGGGTGTCAGAGACTGAGAGGGGATGACGGATGGGCTGGATGCTCAGGGAGTACTGGATGAATGAGCTGACAGACAGTGACGGATAGCTCTTTCTTCCACTAAAACAATTCTGTTTTGTCCCTCCTGCCATCATGATGCAGTGCTACTTGTTTTCCATTTAGTTTTTTTTTTTTTTTTAAACCTGACTCCACCATGAAGGCGCTTGTGTAGTTTTGCTTTGTTTTTTTTAAAGAGGAGAAAAGAGGATGCTGAAGAAAAGAATGAACAAAATAGCCATTTTGCTTTTTTTAATGTCATGTTTTGCTTTTGAGCTGTCATGATGCATGACTTTCTACAAAGATATCTTTCTTTATTAATACTGTTATTGTTATTATAATTTAAATAGCATCCAATGGAAGTTGGTAGAGGTGCAGTCTTCTCTCAAGAGGTGGCTTTTTCAAGGGGTTGTTCTGGTGATCAGAGACGTCAGAACCGTTCTGTCCCCCTGCATGCCTGGCCCTGAATACGCCCGATAAATCAACCTGAAGGGCCTGTTTGTGTCCCAGTCTCCCAGGTCCTGGGATGGGGCCGCGGGTCAATCCTTATGGAGATAGACAACGAAAAGGTCCGGAAGCTCTGGGAGGGGATTTGGTGAGAGGCTGGAACCTGGATTCACTCTCCTATCTGAAAAGACAAGAGTACAAAAAGAAAAGAAGAACGTCCAGACTCCGCTTCAAAGTGCTTTAGATGGTGAAGAGTAAAAGGATGGATGGAGGTCTGACGTGATGAACGACTTAATTCGTGAGCCATGTTCACACAACAGGGGGATACTGCTATTTGGAGTGCTAAATGCGTTTGAGTTTGGTTATCAAGTAGAGTTGATTCTTCAACCGAAATGCCTACCTGAAATTTTCAGATGTCATGGCTGAGATTTGAAAGAGTGGGTTCATCTGTCATAGGTAAATGAACATATGTGTAGTATAAGCACATGAAGAATGCCTGGCTACCTTCATACATATTATTATACAAATGTATGTAGGGGTATTTTGTAGTCAGGAAGCAAGATAACACTTCAGTTTAATGTTGAGGAGCACAGGAAAAAGTATGACATAAGAACTGGACTTGAGATACATGAAATCAGCAGGAGTTGCTTGAAGCACTATAGAATATAAATGACATCCTTAAAGACATAATTGAGTGTCATTCCCAAACCATGTAATTTCAAAATATGAAGAATGTGGAGGTCAAAGTTTATTTTAGCAAGATATGAAGAGTGATTTTACAAGAAAAAAACAACAGTTAATAAATAGACTGTGAGGAATCAGAAGTAGGTATTTTAAACGGCACGCTGCAGTTCTATATTTAGGAGTCTTATATTGGTAGATTATAGTAGGAAAGGTTTGTGGCGATGGGAACCCTTGGCTGGCCTTGGTGTGGGAGGCCTGCTGGCCTCTGTGGTAAGGCTGGCCCCCCAGCAGTGCACGTTCTCGGGGCTGCCGCATGCCTCAACTCTGGCTCTGGATCTTCTGCCTTCCCAAATTCCTCTCAGCTCCAAGGGATGGGGGTGGAAAGAACCAGCAGCCAGGCCTCGGTTGATGTGGAGGCCCTCGTGGACTCACATTAGTGTTATTTGGTATGAAGTGGTGATTTAAATAGAATTTTGTAAGATTTTGATAGATCTATCTATTTTGTATCATTCTGTTGTTCTGTCTATCTATCTATCGCATTCCATCTGTATAACCTTCTAGCTTAAAGGATTTTTAAATTAGTTATATGAATTTAGATTAATTCTAAATGTGCTGTCTTACATTCAAATTCAAATTGCAATTCTGCATTCATATTCATTATGAATTCTCTAACTGAATTTGAATTTTTAAAGGCATTCTCATGTCAGTTCTGATTGGTTTGTGACCTTGCAGGGCTCATAGTAATTTTGTGCTCTGGTACAGATGCATAAAAGCCACAGGGCATTCCAGAAGTTAAGATGGTATACCCTTGTTTCCAGCATCCATTTGTGCCAGAGGGTGATGGTTGAAGGAATGAGAGATATTTAATTACATCCCTTACGGTGGTGTCTCTCCTCCCCACCCTTCATGACCCATTCTGGGGCACTGCATAGAAGAGCAGAGGGGGGGCGGGGGAGCATTTTCCTGGTCCCGTGAATTTGGAAACCATGAGGCTGCTAAGCATTCCTGTGGCCTGTCCACAGGCATTATCCTAGAATTCCTGGAACGTTGTTAAAAGGATTCAATGTAAAATGCTTTTCCCCTCTCTAACCCCTTCCATTCCTTTCTCTTAGTTCTTGGCGGTGAAAGCCTAACACCAGTGATACCACTAAAGGCTTATGCTTGCGTCCTTCTGAATCCTGGGCAACTTCTTAGTGACCATATAATTCTAACTAGATGTCTAACTGCAGCTGTGTCTGATTTCCTCGCCTCTCAGTCTCTTATATTTTTTATCTTTATTCCCTCTTTTCTTTTTCTCTGTCATCACTTTTCTCTTGTGATTGTGATAACTCTGTGCTCTGAGGTGGAATTTTGCTTTCAGAGTTGGTTATGTTGGTTTAAGCGTGGTTTGATGCTTGTACAGAAACAAATTATTGAAATGTGATCCATATAATGTTCTGGCACCATCCAATGATTTAATACTCTCAGGGTTATTTTGGAGTCTGTTTATATTTCTTCATTTGTGTGTGTCTTTGGTAATTGCTAAACAAACTCTGAGTCCGCTAGTGACCCATAGTGAAAATATGTTGTTCCGGCAACAGGGTGCAAGGCGGGGACATGTTGGCGGCCAGAAAGTTAAAGCTCTGAAAGGAGTACACTGCGGTTTAAGGAAATTTGCTGCTTGCTCCCAGTTCTCAGTCAGCAACCTCCTCTGGAGAGTCAGGGAATCTGGAGAATGTTCTCTCAGTTATAAAGACTTCTCGTAACAAAATGAGCAATTTTGTTCTCCTTTTCAAACCTCAGGATGAAGTCTTTATTTGTGTAGCTGATTTTCTAAAGAACATAAAATTATATATCATTTAAATATTGCAGGCTCTAAGGTACTGTTGAGGTTTGAATATTGCCCTGAGTGTGTGTGTATTAAAGGGGTCATATGATGTTGCTAAAAAGAACATTATTTTGTGTATTTGGTATAATGTGTTTAATGCGGTTTAAGGTAAAAAAAAAAACACATTATTTTCCACATACTGTACATTATTGTTTCTCCTCTATGCCCCGCCTTTCTGAAACGCGTAGATTTTTACAAAGCTCATCGGTCTGAAAAGCGAGGTGTGCTGTGATTGGCCAGCTATCCAAGCGTTCCTCAAGTATATTACGGAAATGTTACGCCTCTTACCATATTGTGATGCCGTGTCCCGGGCCAGAGTGACGAGACAAAAACATTAAAACCCATTATAAATGAGGCATTTGTTGCATCCAGTGGGGACATAATTACGGATTATA